AGATGGTCGGGAAGGGTGAGGTCGACATGACTAACATCTCTATCCTCATGAAACACTCGAGGGAGACGGCGAAGAGCTGGTACGACCTGACCAGGAAAGTAACATCCACATTTCTTTGGGATTGCCTCAAACACTCATAACTTAACTTAGTAATATTTGCTCAGATTTTGACATTTTGCATCTTGTGCAAAAGATTGTCAATGAAAAGATACCAAATGCTGATATTAGAAGTGTTCATGTAAATTTTTTTGAAATTCTTATTTTTGCGGACATGACATTTGGATGTGTTCTCCTCATTAAGATCAAAACTGCCACATTTTGCTTGAGCTTGTATTGATCAAAAACTAACGAGCTTTATATTTTTAAGAATGGAAAGCAGATTTACAGCAGGGTCACCTTGCTTAAAGTCAATCTCAAGATATAACCAGTGACAATAATGTCATTGTTTCTGGTGATTTACAAAACAGGTGTTKCAGTGTTCCAGAGGTGACAACAGTTGATGTCTTCTCTTATGGTCCCAATTCACAATTCAAAAATAAGTTTATTGTGAGCATTCTCCTAACACTTGATAGGATTATTTATGTCCAGTAGCATCACTTTGCCACTTCACACTGTGAAGGTGCTGTTGATGGCAATGGTGGAACTTTAAAGCAAATGGTTCGGAATGCTGTATCTTCCATTAAAAAACTCATTAATATTCATAAGGCAAAACACAATAGAAATCATAGCCCAYGAAGAGAGTTGTATATTACATACAGATTTCTTGTTCATTTGCATAAACTTTAACTCTGACTTTCTCGCTCAGATTGAATTTTTTTTGAAAAGTTTCTTTAAAACCTGAACTAGTTTACCTCAACGTTTCATAAGTAATATACAATATTCGCGTGTGATCATACAGATCGCCCGCTCATATTGTATATATTACGAAAAGCACACCCTGTTACAGAAGCAAAGTCATTCTATAAAGCGTTAAAGGGTTTTCAGAAAGATGATTTCGTGGTGCCTCTTCGGCCCAGTTGAATTCCTTGATGTCTCACTTATCATCATTGTGTAAGTTCCCACAATTCATGTTTCTCACAGTTGTCTTTATGGTCAGGTCAGACATGTAGTCTGCTACTGGTAACATTGTAACCCAGTACAACCTGCCTCAAAGGTCAGACATGTAGTCTGCTACTGGTAACATTGTAACCCAGTACAACCTGCCTCATGGACGGGTCGTCGGCATCTAAACCGGCACCCCCACCAGTCTATACTGGTGAGGAGGGTGACATGACACCCAGCAGGACTAAAAACAAAACCTGTCAAAGGGCGAATGAGCTCATTTGAGCCACCGGCCATCATGCAAAAACATTTGACTTGTTTATTGTGATGTAATCTGATTGTTGTACTTTTTTAGTTTGAGATATTGGGACGGACTGTGCAGCGGCAGCCAGAGGCGCCAACTSAAGCTCACAGTCTACCAAGACTCTCATGTGTTTTGTCATGTAGTTTTAAAGCGCTTAGAACAGAATTGGATAAGCGCTATATAAATAGCATTATATTATTATTATCATTATTAAGCGGCCAGCATGCTGAATTCATCTATAGCAGCTACACTTATRGAGAGAAAAAACATCATAGAAAAGGCAAGTGACCTTGATCATACTAAATCCTTCCAAGATGCAACAGCAATTCCGGAAATGGATATGTACACAGCAAACCCTCTTCAGCTCAACARTTGATAGAGAATGAAATGTTTCAATGTAGTTATGGTGACAGAAGGTGTCTCTTCATCTTAATTGATTTTTCCTCGTAAATTTCACTTGTCCGGATTTCGTAGACGATTTTGTACAGGCTCGTAATACAAAATAACTTCGATTTGGTTACAGACACTCAACTGAACTCACTCACTCATAAAATGATGACATAGTGATGAGAGGCCTTCCCAGAAGGCCTTCATCACAAAAAGAAAGAAAAACTAAAGCAATTCATAAGTGAAAGACTTCAAGACTTAAGCTAGCCAAAGTTGATTAAACATTTTGCATGATACAATCAATCAAATGGTTGGATAGTGTGTTTTTATTTAAAATATTGATTTACACCAGTCTTAAACTTATCTTGTAAACTCACTCTCATACTATTATGGTGTAGTTATGTAGTTATTCATGTATATCATGTTCTGCCAGATAGTATTCCTCAGTTATCTTGCCCATTGAGAAACCTATATATATAATAGCTATAAACTCTTGCAAAAAAATCCCTGATAAAGACTGTGTAGACAGTCGAAACGCGGAGGATATTAAAGTTTACAAAGTTTACACCCAGTGCTGCTCACTAGTTGTTTTTCAAAAAAAAGAAGGACAAAGTAACCACAGTGGAGTTACTTTGATGTCTGCAAAAATGCATAAAGCTATATCATGGCTGAAAAGTACCAAGTAACATGTTACAGCACTCAAGATTAGGATATGTTTCGATTAGATCACTTTTAATGCGATGTCTTTTAGGGCATGTAGAAAATCATGGTGACAGAATTCCGAATRAACACAGAATTTATTTGCCATCATCTMTATAAGACTGCTTGGCTAGTAAGAYGGAGTTCATAGGCAAGTCAGTTTTGAAAACTATGTGGAGAACAATCCAAAAGGTATTGATTAAACACTGATTAATACCAACTGATCATGCAAATGACTATCTAGTGTACTTGTCGTACTAACAATAAACACTATATGATTTTTTATTCCCTATTCACGGGTCGATACTTAGTTAATCCTTCACTACAGTACTATTGTATCAAAGTCCATAAAACAAAATCCAAGGTATAGTAAATAACAAGACATTATGTTATTTTTGTCCGTGTTTCAGCAAAGCAAATTTACAATGTGTGGGATGTGTACACTTATCAAACATTCGCTTAGATGTACTCTAGATGAACAGCAGACAAATGAAGACAACATCTTCAGCAGCAATGGTAATTCATGCAGTAAATTTACCAGTCAGCTAATAGCAACTCATAAGCCGGATTATCTCTCGCTAGTTGTGGACGGCATGGATCAGGCGAAGACAAATCTTCCACACGTCACTACCATATCTATAGTATGTCTTATTTTTATCAATATATTATTCATTGTTTATTACTTGTAAATAATCAATACGTGGTATCAGCATCCCTTCAWCTTTAAGCCAATCAATTCAGATACTTTAAATGGACTCTTTTGCTCCCTTTTGGACATTAAAAAATATCTAAATATGCTATTGTATCAATAGGCAGAAGAATCCCACTATCTAATGTCAAACGTCACTTTGACATGGCCATATAAAAGTTTTCAGCTTTGTAGATCTTCTACAGTGGAAACATGACACAAATATGGCCCTCTTTTAAGAGTTAACTAAGGTAAGTTCAAGTAATATAAGTAAAATTTACTAATAAAAAAACCCTTTGGTTAGGAACCATTGATATTTATTATTTGAATAGATCCCTCTCTCCCGATCTCATATCTCATGGTCGGGCACACACATGAAGACGTGGATCAGGAAATTTTATTAATTGGTATTTAACACAATTGCTGAATTTTTAATCATAATGCTTATAAAGTTTTTCAGCAGAGTTTCCGTAAAGCTGAGGAATAAGGAYGTTATAACCTGAGCTTCATAACACCATTAAGACGTCATATAATCAAACTCCAGAATGTTTGGATATAGAGATTTTAATATTTACAGATCATTCTAACTGAAAATTAGATTGAATTAGTAGTTACCTGAGATTTGACTTAGAACTGGCATTGAGTCTCAGCTATTACCTGAGATTTTGATGCCCACGTAAGAATCTCCAAACCAGACCTTATCATTATTTACACATATATAGTATTTATGTTCCTTTTTTCCTTTGTTATTGTTGTTGATTGTGATGATTGTAACATTAAATTTCTAGATCATCTAGAAAATCAAATTTCCCAGCTGGCTGCATGGCACTTGGAGCAACAATAATAGGCATGTGTTACTCGCAAATTATAAAGAAAAGGAACCATACCCTTTGGTGCTCCTATACGGAAAAACTGAGACTTTTAAGACCACTAAAAACAAATAAAAATTAAACAAAACAATTAAACAAAAATGCACGGAGCTTCAGGCATTTGAGTCAGTCACGAGCTGTTGAATGTTTGTCATTACCTTGTGCAGGCTACAAGTAGGGTCTTATTGTCAGTGCTCGCACGAATCTTTAGCTATTGCAATATTTGAGTCATCTTTGGGCCTCAGTGTTTTCATTAATAAGGCTGAGTAAGATTAGAAAGATAAGAAGAAGTTTCATTAAGAATCTTTAAGGCGATTAAAAAACATTTATATTCAATGCGTTGCTCTACAGGCAACCAATGCAAGTTTGTAAGAATAAGCATGATATGATCATATTTTATTTCCCGCAGGTATATAAAATTTGGAAAGCGTCTGCCCCTGAAGAATTAGAAATTTTTTTTAGAACTGCATGGTATGAAGTTGACGTTGCATCATTCAAAACTCTCCAATCAACATTAGCTGGAGAAGAATTGGCAATGATGAAGAAGTCCAGAAAACATTTCAAAGTTGGCTGGCTCAATGCTAATGTAAGGATTTCACCTTGTAATATTCAGGATTTAACCCTTTCACCAAACTATCCCGGTTTTCCGGGATTACGATTTGACTCCCGTGACGAACTATCCCGGTTTTCCGGGATTCACAATCGTTTTTACTTTTGAGCCTGGTAACTAGTATAATATAGGTCCTAGAGGGGGGAGACTTTATAGGCTGATTCTGCAATTACCGGCACCCCATAACAATAGTTTTCCGCCATCTTGTTTTATTGAAAATTATCGAGAATTTTGATTTGCAAAGTTCGCGCGCGTTTAAATGGCCGCCATTGTTGTTGTGATTTTGTTTATCTATGGCCGATGGCGATTCTGAATCGTACAGAAGCGATTCTGACTCATTTTCTTCGGATGAAGAAGTGGAAAACCTTTTCCAAGACGATGATAGCGACGACGAAGAAGAAGAATTCGGTGGATTTGAATTTAACCTTCCCGAACGAATAACCTTTCACGAAGACGAAGATGGAAGCTTTACCAACGCAYACAGACAATCACACCAGCATGTATTTTTTGATCGAAGTAATTCTGGACCAACTATCAACCAAGTACCAAGAGATGGAAGAACTATTGACTTTTTCCAGCTATTTTTCACGGAGGAACTTTTTGAAAAGATCGTAGAATGGACAAACAAGTGGGCCGAGATAAAAGGAGCCAGAAATTTTAAAAATACATCCGTTGAAGAGATTAAAGCGTACGTTGCCATGATAATGATGATGAATCGGGATGTTGTTTTGCCAAGAACTGAAAATTACTTTAGGAGTGATGAAAATAAATGGATTTTTCTAACACCAGGATTTCGTCGTGTGTTTACTCAAAGACGATTTCATGAGCTTGGACGTTATATATTTTTTTCAAACCCAAATGATTTAAATGCCGATGACAAACTTTGCAAAATCCGAGAATTCATTTTATCACTTCAAACGACCTTCAAGGAAAATTTTGTATGTGGGAAGGCTCTATCACTCGATGAATGCATGGTCCCTTATAAAGGAAAACTCGGAATAAAGCAAAGAATTCTAGGGAAACCAGTTCGCTGGGGAATAAAAATCTTTGAATTATGCGACAGTGAAACAGCTTACTTGTCACGATTTGAAGTCTATCTGGGAAAAGAAAGGGGGCAGCAGCAAACAGCATCTGAAGTTGGAAAGTGTGGGCAAGTTGTTGCAAAACTGACTGAGGATTTTCAAAACAAGGGTCACCATCTTTACTTAGATAACTGGTACAACAGTGTGGCATTATGTTATTTTTTACAAGCCAAAGGAATATATGTGTGTGGGACTGTGCGATCCAATAGGAAGTTCTATCCAGATGATTTGAAATCACTCAAGCAGTCTCGAATGGCCCGTGGTACTTCAGAGATAAGAGTTTACAATGGTATAGTTGCAATGGCATGGAAAGATACAAAGCTTGTGCACTTCCTTTCAACTATCCATTCCCCTGAGCAAGTATCAACAGTTCAGCGGAATAGAAAACTTCCTAATGGAGGGTTTGAGACAGTTGACATCCCTGCGCATGCTATTGTTAACGACTACAATGATAATATGGGAGGGGTGGACAGGAATGACCAATTAACAGGTGTCTTGAAAAGCAGGAGGCAAATGAGATGGTATATGAGACTTATTGTTAAGTCTTTAGAACTTGCAACATTCAATGCTTATGTAATCGAAGGTCATTTTTTGGAACATGACATCACTGGCCGACGAAATAGAGACTTGGCAGTCTTCAGAGAAGAATTGATTCTCCAGTTAGTGGGAACATGGAGAGCGAAGAGATCCAGACCAGGTAGAAAAAGATCCCATGAAGATCCTACCAGACTACAAGAAGTTGGGTTGCATTTTCCTGCAAAGGGAGAAGGGTCTGATCATACATGTGAAGTTTGCAGAGAGAAGCGCCGACGCTACATGGTCACTAACCCAGGAGTCCACAAGAATCAAGTTCCTCATAAACTGACTAAGACCACTTTTAAATGTGAAATCTGTGATGTTTATTTGTGCATTTCAAGAGAAAGAAACTGTTTTAAAAYGTGGCATTCCAAGGTTGAATTCTGGAGATAGAGATTTTTTCACTCCTGCTACAACTGGAAATAGAATTTGTGTTATTATTTTCCTTTTTTTACAATTTCCAGAACTCAACCTTGGGCTTCTATGCTTTAAACCAGTTTTTTTCTCTTGAGGACTAGACTGCTGGCTATGCAGCCTTAGTTCCAATATGTTAAATCAAATGTAGAAATATACATGCAACATAGAAGATTACCTGATACATTTAACGAAATTTATTAGGTATTATCTACCTTTTAAATTCAGATTTGATAAACATTAACCTCAAATTATGTCTTGTCAATAAATCTTAGTCAATATGTAAGCAATGTATGCAATTATTTGTGGAAGATAAACAGATTTGCCTTACCTTGTCTTCTTATCTTTGTGAAGTACTTGATTTTCRTAGAAATTTTACAATTTGAAGGCTCGGTTACTCAGTTTTATTCTATTTTTAGCAATTTTGAACGCACAAAGAGAAAGCTTGTTGACTCTACTTTCATATTATTATGGGGTTACCTTATGTGAAAATGGCTCCTATATAGTCAAAATGGCATTTTTTACAATGTCACTATATTTGTACCAACTTTTGCTGGTTTTCCTATGTTCAAGGGAGTTCTTAGGGGCGGGAATGTTTTGGTGAAAGGGTTAAAAGAAATATTTGCTTTCGTTGTTGACAATGGACCGTCAGAAGCACCAGCAAATTTTCTTGCTCCAATGCTCATGGTTCGCCTCGTTAAGTTTTTAAACTTGGACAAAGGAATACAGAATATCTAAGCAAAAGGAATTTTGGTGAGAGAGTTCATGCGGTTGAAAATAATGCACTCTCGAAAAACGGAAAATTTAGTTCCCAGAAAGACCGTAAGACTGCAACGTTAGACCACTATTCTGTGACGGTGTTCAGACATGACGACAACTGGCGAGGAAAGGAACTCGAAAGGTTTGAAAGAAGACCAATACCAGATCTCCTCAGATGGCAACAAACTATTTGCCATTTGAGTTGAGACGTGAACTGCCACACGGTAGTTGTGATATGCTCCCTGAACTGTTTTTACCTTCACGTGTTCTTGACTTGGTGTTTAGAGTATTTCGACATCCAASGGGAAACCTTAGATCGTGTCTGTCACTTCTTGCTTGGGTCCCCGATCTGTAGTGTAGAGGTCCCGTTTCATTCCCAGGGAATGTGGAGATTAATGTCCCTATTATAGACCCWACTTCCCTGATGCTATATTGCTTTTGGTTGATAAACTGTTGACACATGGACAGTATCTTAGTTATYTTGGCCTCAGTCAAGGTAACTGTCATTGTTTTAGAATTTAGGATGAACCMCAGAAATTCTAGTCTTTGGGTTGGGATGAATACTGATTTCTTAGGGTGAACTACAAWWCCCAATTCGGTGAATAATTTAATAGCGTGAAGTGTTGCCTCTTGACAATGGGCAACACTGTCCTCACTGTAGAACGAGCACAAAGCAATCCTTGTTGAATGATAAAGAAATGGAGAGATGGAGTGGACACAAGCTATTTGTAGACCACTCAAAAACAGAACTAGAAGCAATGTGCCTAGCTAGAGGTATTAGCAGTCAAGGGAAAAAACATGAGCTTGTTTCAAAGCTTTCCACAAGAACAGACACACAACACTCTGACGATATTTGTATTTACGACACACAACACTCTGACGATATTTGTATTTACGATGGCAATTTAGAAAATGTTCCAACTACGATCAGTATGCTAAACAAGAAACCAGTTCGATATCTGCGTGCTGTTCTAGATCACCATTGCATCGTAACCACTGGAACAAAAGAAGGGAGGGCAAACACAAGCAATATTTAGTAGAGAAAGGAAGTCGCTATTAGAGCTAATTACCTTGTTAAAAGAATTGCTAAAAGCTGAGGAAAGCCAAAGAAGAGACGATTTTTGTAAGAGAGAAAGGAAATACAGTGACAATAAAAATAAATAAATAAAGTGACAATGTGAAAAATCTATCAACGCGCGAAAGCTGCTATAAAAATCTGATGCTCGTAATTCTGCATATGAACATTTGAACGCAGTAGAGAGTTTCATCATAAAAGAAGAAAGTCTAATGAACGATTATCTTTATGAGAACAAAAAGACGAGTGAACAACCTAAGAAAATAAAAAGAAACCTGCAAAAACCTGTTACAAAGAGAGAGCTATCTAKTAGAAAAAGAAAGATACCAGACAAATATAAAGAATTCCATACTGAGCAGACAACCCAGAGTACTGTCCTTACCTGTTCGCAGTTATCTGTAGGTAAAAAGTATGGTCTGTATGGTCTTGTGGAGAGAAAGGGAGCTAAGAGGAACAAACTTTGCAGAAGGATGGTACGAAGGAGAAATACAATGGTTAGATGAGGACGAAGACGAAATTGGAGTACTTTATAAGGATGATGCTAAGCACGGAAAGCCATAATATATAAACTTTGTTTGACTCCAGAACTATCAGACGGAATAATAAAATTCTTTTTTTTTTTTAAATTAAAACATATTTTTTAATAATAGAATTAAAAGACGATGTGGTTTTCTCCACTTATTATATAAACTTATATTTGGTAGTTCAATTGTGTTGGCCCATATGTTCAATATAATCTGTGCTGAACATATTAACATATATAACATGTTTTCCCATCTTTTTTCTTGTTAATGGATAGCTTACAGTTATCATGAATGAGAGGACACAGTCGGATCTAAACTGGAAGTATTGCGACTCAGAACACAATAGAATTGAGGTATCAAAATGTAAACATCGTATGTATGTATTTAGCAAATAAAATCAAAGATCCATGAGTCACCTATGGACTAATTTGGTCTGATGGAGAGATGTTCGGAATTCCGGAGTACTGTGTCAGAGAATCTTAGAGACTGATCTGCTTTTTCTAAACCAAAATATACTCAAAATATACGATTTCAACACGTTACCGTTTTGAAGATTCTTTATCGACGTAAAATAGGCTGTTAAGATTCTCTAGTTGTTTCAAATACGAATGAAGACAGCTCTGGAATTAATGTTATCCTAGATCACAATCACAGTTTTCGCGAACAACACAAAACACGAACCTGGAATATGTATCACATTTCAAAACAAAATGGCAGTCGGCCAAACAACAAATACCTCGCATGATCAAATCGCTTCGAACTTCTACAAAAGCTTAAAATAAATATAATCATGTGTTGCATTCACCAAAACAAGATTTTTTTCTAGGTAGATTTCATTCTATATATGGAAAAGATTGCTTAAAACGGTTATAATTTATTCTAAACCCGAGTGAACTCGGGTTTGCGTGAATTTGACACACTGTRTCCGTCATAGAGTCGTCGTGCGGAACATGGCAACTGTGTTGTGTTGAACTTTGTCTAAAAGATTTCTGTAATAATAGTCCAAATCATGTGTCGAAATACCTCAAAATGTTGATTTGCATTCAAGGCTTTGCTGAGATTTGTGGCGTAGTTTCGATCAATCAAGAAAGTTTATTGCCTTTTTGCGCCCAAAATCTCAGTACTCATAAGAATTCTTTATATAAATACATCCAAATCAAAGTATTTTTAAAGCGGTTTACCCGAAAACGAACACCAACATTTCTGCAGTGTATTGAGATAAGTTTCTTTGCTGCATGATTCGGCAACAAAGCTTTAAAATGATTAGAGCTACAACTATTTAGCACGTCAGTGAAATAAATAAATACACATGACCCTAGCATTGCATTTTATGATTTTTATCGTAGTAATATAGTGACATTCAGTCAAAACATCACAAGTAATATCACATAATGCCAGATGGTAAAATACTTTCTCAAATAGGCTTTGAATTACTTACTGGCATTGTGGACAGGTGTCCATTTCAAATACGTTACCGCTCACAAAAGCGATGCCCGCATGGCGTGGTCATCATAAATGGTTTTTCGTCATGACAGTCTGATTTGGAATCTTTAAAATAAGAGGAAAAACCATTGAAAAACAACAACACTTTTTTAAGTAATGAAACGTAGAAAAAATGATATTTGATATCTACTTACTTGTGGTTGACGCCATCTCAGCTTTACCACGATGGAATGATTCAGTTCGCCCACTTATATAGTGACGCGCTAACATGTAAATTATTGTTTAACATTGGAACACGTAATCCTCAACTGTTTTCMCTTGAGTTTGATTAGCTGCTCGTAATTGGAGTTTTTTGTTTAGTTGTGTTGGCATCAGATATCGCTGAATTCAAAAGGGTGTGTTGATGTTGATTTTGTCCGAGTGTTGATTAATCCATCGTTTAACAAATTTTTTCTTATCTCAATTTTTGCATCCCTATCTAATGATTTTTCACCACTTAGAAAGTTGGTTCATAGTAGGGATAGGCTTCTTCAGGAGTTCTTTTTTCTCACCTTGAAAAAAGGTCGAGTTGAGTTCTTCTTATTAACCTCAATAACCTGAAGGAATGCTCTTGCGGGGGTAGCAGGCCCCTAACCAACCTATTGACCGTTCGATTGGTGCAATTTTTTCACCTTTCAAACTTTTTTCACTATACTTTAAGATTTTTTTTGTCATTTTCACTAGTGAAGAACATTCGTGAGACAGGGGACTTCGATTGAATTCAAAAAAGTCGTGTTGAAAAAAATTCTTTCCGCGTGTGGAAAAGTAGGTACTTCTAGTTTTCACTTTTTCAGTGACATCTTTTGGCATTCTTTCAAAACCGTTGAATAAGTGTTAATAAGTGCCCTTTTTTCGTGTTTGTCCAACATACGGTTTAGCTTTTTAATTAGTTTTGACTCTTTTTGATTGCCAGCCGATATGTCAGAACTGAAAAGCAAGAAATTTCATCACATACACTTTTCACTGATTACGCTCCACCCACCATTGTTTAACTCTATTCTGACTGTATTTAAGCCAAGGGTGTCTTACGATCATTCTCTTTTTACCACTGACGATAAAATGAGTTTAAGCTGAACCATGGTTTCGTTGGACAAGTACAGCTGCCTCTGCCCCCATACCATTGGGCTAGAGATGTTCAAAAGCAAAAAGGGGAGTCAGTTTATCAAATGTAAAAAGTCTTGTTGTGGCTTCTTTTCTGCTGCTGAGGACCTGCACGAATACCTCAATGCCATTGCACAAAACCTGCACGAAGAACTGAAGGTTCCAAGAACACCTCTCTGCGAACACGGAAAACCTGCAACATTGCACTTTCAAAAAGCGAAAAGAATCCAAAACGGCTGTTCTTTAAATGTGGAGATATTGAAAACTGTAAATACTTTCAGTGGGGCGACAGCCCGCCAAGCAAGAAAACACTTGAACACTGGAGTGAGAAAGATGTCAAAACCAGAATCAAGCTGCCAATGGCAACATAACTCGGAGATTGTAAGAGCTGCTTTTGCAAGATGGTCAGCTGTATTTTGAGCATTTTATTAACATATTAGATAAGTTATTTACAAAAACATGTAAATACAGTAGGTGATCATAAAAAATCAGAACAATAAGATCAGAACAATATTGGGAAAAATGCAATTCAACATTTAAATTGGATTAAAAAAATAGTATTAACTAACAAGATAARTGAAAAATTAGTGAAAAATTTGAGTAGCTAATGCCTTCATATATGGAAAGAACAAGTGAATTGGTATATCATAACTTTGTTTTGAGCTCCTTTGTTGAAGTATGAAATCCACAACATTGTTCTTTTGATTATTCTTTATGCTCTTGATTTGCAGTTTTGCAGAATTATTCCAGTGCTTTTCTTCCAATCACTGTTAAGCGGATTAAGGTTGATTGATAAAAATATAAGCTTATTAGTTCAGAGAGACATCGAAATTTATAAAAGGAAAAGCTTCAGCTTAAGTTACATGTAAATTAACAAAGGTGACATAAAGTTCAAAGTGTCTGTCTCAACTTTACATGCCCGGCTGCCGTGTAAATAGTGGAAGTCAAAATGTCCGTTTGCAAAAAAAA